AAAGAGGGAAGGGCTGTTTCTCTCTGGTTTCTCTTTTTGAATGTATGGAATTTAGATTCTAGGTTAGATATCTGGCTTTCAGATTTGTATCCCCCACATGATTGGTTTTAGGTTGGATCCAAATCTAGACTCTGGCTTTCAGTCTCTAGTTGCTGCCCAGATCTCCTGTGAACAGATAATCTCAGGAGATTTCTATCTTTTGTGGCTGGCATATTGTGGAAATGCTGGTTGCAAATTTCAGCACTGTTGGATTGGAAAGCAAACCCCAGCCTGCCCCTAATCCAGATCTGTACTGTGAACCAAACAGCTCCTGACTTTGCAGTTCATCCCATAAAGCTAGAGAGAGATAGGATTATCTTTGTCTCCACTCACTGGCTAGCCTTCTTTTCTTGCTAGTTACTCTGCCTCCCGTCTCTAGTTATCTAGCTATCTATCTTGGAGATAGCTAGCTAGATAGACAGATAGATAGGTAGATATGATCTATCACTCTCTTAATTTCTCTTTATGTCAGTCTCTTCCTCATTTTGTGTTGAACCATGCTCTGGAAAACTGATATGGAAAACTCTAGGTTAAGTAAGCTGCCATCCACCCCAGTATCCAGGCCATCCTTGGGTCCCAGGACTGTCCCCATTCTTCAGCTGATGAATCCGACTAGCATCAGTTTTTCCTAACTGTTGTTGCAATTCTGATAGACTGAAGTTTCCATTCTGTGGCAACTGAAATAAGACTTTTCATGCTGCAAGCAGGTAACATTTAGAGCCATCCCCTTGGGTTACTGTATCTGGCATCACAGCTGGTGCTCTTTTGTGTATGCACCACTCTTCTGAAATGCCAGCTCTGAGCTTAAAAGAGCCAGCAGAAGGCACAACTCACTTGCACAATAATTGATTCCTCATAGCTTGTTACAGGCCTTTGTTTCCTTCTCAGATTAGGAAAGATGAGCTGCTAAAGATAACAAGGAAAATACCAAATACACCCCATTTAGAGATGCTACCAACAAGATTGTCAGTGGCTAGGGATTTCCTGGCCACTCTGGGTTCTGACCTGTTGCAGAGATTTAGCGACAGATGCCTGGCCTTCCCTTATCTGTGCATCACTAGCAGGTGTTCTGAGGAAAGGCCAAATTCAAATCAGATGGGAGGAGGTTGAAGAATGGAAAGAAGAAACACAAATCTGCAAGTGAGGATCTGGATTTCTAAATGGGCAGCTGTGCAAGGCTGCCATGTGAAACTGGGCTAGGGAACAGATTGCAGGCAACCATCCTACACTGCCCTCCCTAAGAAATAGACTGAATGTGCCTTTCCCATTTCCATTAGGCATAATGTATGGATTGGAGGGCATGTCTCAGTTAGATTCTTCTCCAACCTGGAGGTATTGGAAGAGCTCCTGCTCCCGCTTTTTTCAATCCACAGATTTCAAAGCACTTACAAAGTGTTAGTTAAGCCTCAGAACACCCCCATAAAGCGAATTAGTGTCATTATCTTTATTTCACGGATAGAGAAACTGATGGACAAAGGAATGGTGACTTCTATGGCAGGTCAGTAGCAAAGTGAGAATGGGACAGGCACCCTGAGCCTGTCTTTTCTCTTAGCCAGTAAGCTGAGGACTAGACATAATGCTCCAAATGGAGCTATTAATTAAGTTATTTAAATAATTAGACAAGCAGATTCTGTTATAAGAGGGGAACTTTTTGGCTTCTTACAAACATAATGCTTTGGGCTTCTTCTGAACCAATATGAAGTATGTATCAAGGCACTGCAAGTTGTGTGTGGGGAGGAGAATTGTTGAGATGGGGACAGGAGGTTACAGGTCCTGTCACACAGCGGTGCCCCGTCATCAGCTGGCAGTGCTGCGGGCATTGATCACGAGCCCTCAGCAGAGTGGTCCAAAACAGTTTGGCATCCAGGGAAGTATCCCCAAAGGAAAAGGCTGTGCTACACAAACTCCAAGATCATCATTCAGGGCCAGACCAATCAGTATGCTCTTGGAGTAGAAGGTTGTGAGCAATAGGACTTGAAACGTAAGGGCAGGGCTTCTCTTCAAGTGGTTTGAAGTCTGGTTGGTGAAGAGAATGACTTCAATGCCTGCAATCCCAGCTGAGGGCTCAATGTATGCTTGTATGTTGACATGAGAATCCTGTCACTTCTAATATGCCAGGATGGGTGAAGATCCTACTGTCACTCCAGTGATGTTCTACTACTCTTCCTGTCTTCCCAGCTAAGAATTCCTAGTCTGTAATGATGGCATGATAGGTGCACTGATCTCTGTATCCCAGGACCAACAGTATTAGGGGTCAGGGCCTAGGGTGGAGGAACCCGCAACACAAGGAAGCATTTCAGTTAGACTAGGCCTGGAAAAGATCATTTAGGAAACAAATCAGCAAACTAAGCAAGAGAATGAATCAGAGGGTATAAGCAATCTTTAATGTATGTGATGCCATGAGCTTGAATTCAGTTTTGGTATAAACTGCTAAAACCATGTTGATATCAAAGGACTTTCACTCTTTCTACCATATCTGGATGCAGGCTTCTAAATCTAGCAGAAGGTGTTAGTAAAAGGACTAACAAAAGGGAGGGAGTTTCTCTGCTTCTCACCAAATTATGATTTGGTGACTAGAGAAGGTGGGACTAAAAGCTTAAGGCATGGGTTCTCTGTGCAGCTCTTAACAGTGGTTCATGGTGTAATTTTAGGCAAGTCACTTAGCCTCTCTATGCTTCAGTTTCCTCACAGGTGGAAGGTGACATGCTCCAACTTGGAGAGGTATCAGGGGGCTTCACTAATGTTTGCTAAGTGTCCTGTGAGCCACACCTAGAAAGAACTAATGATTAGATGTTTTGTTGGGCAAAAAGCAAAGGCTGTTGACAGCCTGACGGGACAGTCTGGGCATCCTGAGGACAGGCTTGGGTTTAGGCCAGCAGTTCACAGCTAGTGCTTAGTTGGCACTAGTGTACAGTCCAGATGCTTTTCTGAGTCCTTTTCTGTCTTGCTTTCCCCTTTTCACCTAGAACACAAAGTTCATTTGCCAAATGATTTGCCCCAACACTCACTGATCGGCCAGGCTCTTGTATGGCAGATCCTACCTGCTGTCACCAAGTGAGGTTAAAGTAGAGGGTGGCTGTTTTAATCCTTGCTCACTGGCAGCTTCATGCTAATTCTTCCCTCTCTGTCAACCTCTCACCTTCTCAGCTCCAGCAGCTGTAATTAGCTGCTCTGAACACACTCCTGTTGACATTGATTTATGGGGTTATTTAGTCCCTGCTTGGACCATCAATTCACCCAACAGCCTCAATGAGATTCAGGCTTCATTCTTCTTCAATTAGACATTGCTTCACAGGAAGTTTCTGAGGGCAGTGGGCAGGGAGAAAGCCTGTGGCTCAAAGCTGTCTTTGCTTGAGGTTCCCATAGTGACTTTCCTCCTTCCAGGCTCTGTGTTTCCATGGAGGAGAGCTCAGGCTCACTTATCTCTGTCTTCTCAAGGTCACGCCATGCCAGCTGACCTCTCCTGAGAATGATATGCTGTCATCTCAGCTCAGAGTATCAATCCATGGTACAAAATGGACACCTCCAGGAAAGGCAACTTGTCATGGCCTGCACTTCCAGTTCAGACGGGATTCTTCCCTTCTTGTTGAAATTCTGATCATACACGTGAGAGAGGGGACATTGGATCATCCAGTTCTCCCCACCCTCTCAGCAGATCAGCCTTAATCCCAAGGCAAATTCTGAATAACCCTGGAAATAGGGCTTCCACTCCTTTCTTAGAGAGGCTATTCCACAGCCTCATGTCGCACTGGGTTGGGATTTTATGTTTTATATTCAACCTGCTTGGTTTAATCCCTTAAATCCTACATCCAGGCTCTTTGAACCATACCAAGCAATTACCCTCTCTCTCCTTAATGCTGATGCCTTTGAATATTCCTAAGCAATAACCACCTCTTCTCTTATTTGTCTCTTTGCCAAGTTACATATATTTCAGTCTTTTAACCTTTCCTTGTAAGTCAGCCACTCAGAATTCAAACATTTCTTCATCTTTATTATCTACCACTGAACACCCTCCAATTTAGCCATATCTCTCATACTGAAGCACCAGATGGGATCCTTCCAGAGCCACCTCCCCTCTCCCTGATATGATGCCTCTGAGATGAAGGTGCCAAAAATAAAACACTCCTAGGTGACCAGGGCTGTATAGAAAGGAAGTATTTTCTCCCTGCCCTCTGACCCTGATGCCTCTAGAATTGAAGTGTCCTTGCTAGAATGCAGTCATCCTAGCTACAGCATGACCACAGACATACAAAAAGAGGTTATCATCACCTCTCTGTTCTTCTGTGTGTGAAGACCGAAATTCATGGCTGTTTTTAGCTTCAGAAGAGTGAGAGTTACTTCAGCCCGCTATTTCAGTGCTGAGACTGGAGATGCTATGACTAGAGCTGTTCAGATAATTGATTTTTTTGGTTTGCTGACTGCACTGAAAAATGAGGGAGAAAATTCATTTCAGTTTGACCCGATGTGACATATTTTTTTGCATTTTTGTCTGAAACAAAAACTCAGAGGAAAATCTTGCAGGTTGACTGCAGCAATTTATTTGACATAAAACAAGACTTTTTTTTCATTTGGGGGCTTTGAACCATTTTTTAAATTTAAAAATAAGTTTTGGAAGGAATTGTTTGGAAAATGTCAGATAAAATTATTTACTTTTCTGAAATTGTTTCAAGGTTTTAAAAAAAATGTTTGGCTGAAACCATTTGAATTTGATGCATATTCACACATCACTTGGGTTGCTCTAAATATGTAGGTTGGGGTGAAAAAAATAGTTTTGCACAGGAAATTATGGCAAACCCTAGCTGTGACTGTCTTGGAGACCACCAGACCTGCCCCCCTGCAGGTTCTTATGCCAGTTGTCTAACATAGGGTCCCTCATGTCCCAATTTTACAAGAACTGTTTGGGACACCGCAAGCTGATGGAGACTGACCTGTGACTCCAGTGTCTGGTTTTTTTCTGGCAGGCTCCTTGAATCTTTTAGTTCGTGTAAAGAACAAACGGGCCATTGACACCCAAGTATGGTCACTCAGTGGGAACAGAGGAAACAAGTGGCAGCAAGTACATGTCCCCATCAATCCCCCAGGACCCTTTCAGGTAAGCAAGCACCAAAGACACAGAGCCTAGCTGCACACTGTGGCCATCTACCCTGTGGTACAGCCACTGGATATGTAAGGTAGAGGGATAGCACATAGCCGTTGTGGAAGGGATTCTGTTACAAGGTCACAGGTGAGAAGTATGTGGGAAGTGTAAAACACCAACCTGTTTCCTCCCTAAAACTATCGAACTCCATCATTCAGCAGGATTGATTCATTACTGTCAGTTTGCTGATGAGCCCTAGAAACCAGTCTGCAATTGTAGGCTTATTTTTGTGTGTCCAAGCTCATTGCCAGTTACTGTATGTTATGGATGTGATGCTTGTGAGCACAGGGCTCCAAAATGCATGCAAATAACCATGGTACCATGTATTCTGGAGCACATACTTGGGTTTACTGTTGGAGGATTGCTCATGAGTAGTGAGCTAGCCACTTGGGGGTTTTATTATGTAATTACTTATGACCACAGGCAGAACCTACCTGAGCAGGGTGCGGGGCCCGGGGCAAATCAACCCATGCAGGGCCCCACCCCTGCCCCGCTCTGTGGGCCCCCCCACAAAGCACGGGGCCTGGGGTGGTTGCCCCGATTCACCTGCCTCCCCATCCCTCGGGATGGCCCTGACCACATGGGTACCCAGCAATCTGGTATGTAGGAAACTGTTATTTTTTAATTCTAAGCCCTGCACACTAGTTTCTTGTTGTAATTGTGCTGGTAAGGTCTGGATGTGAGCACTTTGGCTAGTTGTTGCGTGCTTGCGAAATGCCTAGTACACTTTTGGGTGCTATAAAATAATAAACAAGGACTTAGTTACTCATGTGAGTACTATTCAGCACCAGCTGATTTGTTATTCCAGAATTCTTAATGAAAGCTGAGTTATAGCCATGCATTTGTTATTCTGCGGTTGCTGGTGAGTACTATACAGTGCTTCTTGGATTGGTGTCATAGGCTGATAGTCTCAGGGGCTGGACACACTGGTTTGTTCCTGTAGAGCTGCTTCTGGGCTATTCACATACATTGAGCGATGAGTAGCATTGAAGCATCTAGATACGGTTGTTTTTAGGATGCCCCTGGATGTTATTTTTGTAGGATATCCTACACTGGCAAGGCCAGGACATATTGCTTCGTTATTTTAGAGTGACCCCTGAAGGCTACATCAGACAGTTGGACACAAGTTTGTCCCTATATACATTTGCTACTGTGAGTGAAGGTGAGCATTAGTTACTGTGGGGGAGCATGCAGGGACGGGCATATGTTCACCATTATTGGGGACGGGAAAGCTGGCAGGGACATGGGTGTGTGTCTAGGGTGGAGGACAGGGGAGAACATTGTGAGGGAGGAGGGGAGCATGGATGAAGTTTTACTGTCACAGGGAGCCCACAGAGGTGGGGGTGGAGTGGGTTTGCTGTCACAAGCAGGGGATGCTACTCAAACCCTTGTCTTTGTCCTCTAAATGGTACCCATCCACCAGAGTCTAAGTGTCTGCCACAGTGCTGAGGGGAGCACAGACTGTAGCTCTCTGCTGGGACTCCTGCTGCCAGCGGTCAGTGTATGGGGCCAGAGGCTGGCCTTTCCCCCCCGCTCCTTAGCAAGGAGGAGTAAGAGCTGGGGCCAGTTGTTCCCTCAGCCCCCAGAGCAGGTAGTGATTGAGCTTCTGCCCCTAGGCTTGCAGGCAGAGTTTGGTAACCATGGGAACAGCAGAGGGATTCAGGTTGATGAAGCTGTAACTGTCAGGTTCGGAGAAGGAAGGAGCTAGTCTCTGCATGCATCCTGATGCGAGAGGGTGCAGGGAGGAGGGGGGAGATACCTCAGGCCTCCGCACTTGGGGTGGGAGATATTCCAGCAGTGGAGAGAGGAATTGTCTGCCTTCTGCCAGTGCAGGGTAGAGGGTTGTCTGGTGCAACTCTGTCCCCTTGACCCCCATGTTTGTGGGGAGAGACACTGTGCTGCGCAGATGCATTGATGTGAATGGCAGTCCGGGTTGGTGGAGGTGTGTCAAGGCAACAGGCAGGAGGGAAGCCCACAGGGGAGCACCTAGGGGGGAAGTCAAGGACAGCCAGGCAGCTGGGGGAGAAGAAACAGGAGATTGAGGGCTAGGTTTCCCCTTCAAGGAGGCAGCCAGTGGCTGTGAAGAATAGGGGCTGCTCAGGGGACTTGCCAGGGGCTTACAGCATTGCAGAAGCCTATAGTACGGTTGGCTAAGGGTTGCAGGGAGAAGGATCCCCCTTCCCAGGGGCAGCAGGTGTGTTGCCTCTTCGCATCTATAGACAGGGCACCTTGTGTCCTACCCACTCCCTCCTGCCAATCTGCCTTGGGAGCATTCGGCACCCTCGAGCTCTCTCACTGCTTAGTGTCTCTACCCACAGATCATCTTCGAAGGTGTCCGTGGCACAAACTACGAGGGAGATATTGCCATTGATGATGTCACTCTGAAAAAGGGGGACTGTCCAAGGAAGCCAATTGGCCCGAATAAGGGTGAGTGTGTGAGCAGGCTTGAGGGTGTGTACACATGTGCGTCAGGGGTGGGGGCTGCGCCATGGCATCTGATGGGTTGGTATGACTGTGTCAATGAGCGGAGGAGGGGTGCGTGTTGTGCAGGGTTGTAACCGGGTTGCGTGACTGTTCTTCCCTGCTCAGGGGGTGTGTATCTGTGATGGGCTTATATGGATGCATTTCTTGGACGGTTATATGCGGTATGCGCTTCTGCAACGGAAGGGGGGAGGTGGGATTTTTTTCAGCAGTGTTAGATGTTTTCTGCATGTCTGCAGGGATATGATGAGTTGGAGGGTATACAGAGTTGTTGGCTGGGTTTGTAGTGAGTATCGTCTGGTGTTCTCAGTGTTGTCATTGCTGTTAGCTGCAAGGCCAACAGTGAGCTTTCTGGGGAAGGACTTGGCTTATTCCTAAGTGTTTGAGAGTACATTTATAAAGCAAAATCTTTCCCACAGAAAAGGAGAATGACTACCTGCTGTGTAGGCAACAGCAGGGGCATTGCAAAGATCTCATTGATATTATTGTTGTGTTGCTCTGAACCTCAAACCCCTAACCTTGCAGTGAGCAACCACAGGTTAACATGACCCCAAATTAGGGGTTGGAAACCTATGGCCTGTGGACCAGATCTGGCCTGTGGAACCCTGGATCCAATCTATGGACTAGAGGCTTCGGCAGCATGCAGCAGGGGGAAGGTGCCTTCTGCTGGCATTCTCCCTTGCCAGCGAGGGGATGAATTTCTGCTATGGGCGCTCACTCTATGCTTCCACGGGGAGAAGTGCCAGCTGCAGGCACCCTCCCATGCTACTGGGGAGGCAAGCAGTGGCAGCAGCTGGTCCTAGCACCCACCTTCCCACTTGCCTCTGACCCAGGGTGGATCATTCCAGCCCACAACCAAAAAGAGCCAGAGAGAAGACTGGGAGGATATTTACAGAAGATGGATATGGGCTTTTCTCTGTGGCTGTAGTGGACAGGACTAGGAGTAACGGCCTCAAGCTTCAGTAGAGGAAATTTAGGTTGGAGGTTAGGGGAAACTTTATGACTATGAGGGTAGTCAAGCTCTGGAACCTGTACACATTGTGGAATCTCCATCCCTGCAAATTCTCAGGTGTGGGTTAGACAGACACTTGTCTGGAACAGTTTAGTCGGGGATGATCCTGCCTTGAGCAGGGGGCTGGACTAGATGACCTTGTGAGGTCCCTTCCAACCTTAATTTCCTATGATCCCATGGTACTCCATCCTTGAGAATCAGGATCCATTATCACACTTCCTTCGCTCCTTCTCATGTCCTTATAACACGGTGTTTAGCAGAATTTGCAGATTCATTGGAATCTGACATGGCTGTAACATGAGCCCTTCTGCTATGGTCTTCCATTATCACCAACCATTCGGTGGCTCCCTGCCAGCCATTGTTCTCTACACTAATATGCTCAGGTTTCAGCCAGGTTGTTGGGCAGTTGCAAGACTTTTACAGTGCTGCAGATATCAGTGAAACCAATTAATCCTAGTCATTTGAGCTTGGGAAGGGACAAATCTTCTCTGACCCTTTGATAGCCTCTATGGGCACATCCAGACAAGTGCAGCCATATGGTATGTGGTGCCGCAAACATATCTGCAGCACCACGTAATGCACAGTCTGGTGTTCTCTGCACTGCAAGGGCCACTGCCCAAGTGTGCACTGCTCCTGTTTCTTTTCCCACAGGTTATTTTGACCCCTGGATATCCCCGGGGAACCAAACATCCATGCTCGTCTGGATGCACCCTATCTCCAAATCATTATTTCTTCAGGAGCAGGGTTCTGTTTCTCAAGTCCTCTGGTGAAGGACAGGCAGGAGCTCCCATCCCCTTGCCTGGTCCATCAGAACTGAGGGCATCAATCAAGCTGAGAATCCTAGAGCTCTGAGACTGAATTTAGCTAGCTGTGTTGGGTCCCTTTCTAGTCTACCACCTGTTCTCTGAAATGTCTACCTGTAAGGGTCCCAAGCAGTGATATTCCTACTTCTTCCTTGAGATGACTCCCCAGCTTAAAGCATTTTACTATCAGGAAATACAACAGTCAGCCTACAATTTCTTTGGCTTTATTTTATCCCATTCCCCTTCTTTATACAGATCCCACGCTGGATCATTTCTTGTTCCTTATCATTTGCATCCTTCATACATGGATCTCAAGGTGGAACTCATCCTTCAGCTGTTGCCTTGGCCAGAAAGACAGATTTAGTTCTTTCAGCATTGTGAGTTGGTCCCTCCAGCCCCACCACCTTTGTAGCTGCTCTTTTCAGAGCCTTTTTCTCTTTTGCCCATATCTTTCTGTTGCTGGAAGCCTAAAAAAGGAAAGCTTCCCTCCCGGCTCTGGGATGGGCAACCCAATAACATCCAGGTCATTCGAATGCCTTGGTTCCTCTGGAGAAGACTGGTAATTTCTGTTTTTCTTCTGTCTTTGAGCAGAAACACTAGTATGCACATGCTTTGTCCTGACTGTAGCCTTGGCTAGCTTCTCAGGGGAATACGAAAGGGGGCAAGACAGCGGGTATCCTGTGCATCTAGGGCTGGTTGGGAATTTTTCAAGGAAGCATTTTTTCATGGATAATTACTAAGAGCTTTTTATGGGAAAGGGTTTGTTCCATCACATTTCTCAAATCAAAACATTTGAGAGAAAATAATTTCCAAATTGTCAAAATAAACCATCTGGGTATCTGTTTGTTAATGAAACATTTGAGTGTGTGGTTCAAAGCAAGTTTTCCAGGCAAATTTCAAGCTCATTAGAATAAAAAAAAAAGAGAAAGCGAGAAATTTTCAACCTCAACAGGAAATGTTTACAAGTGATTAAAACAAAATGTTCTATTTGACTGGATTTGAGTTTTTCCAGCTTTTTAGTTTGTAACAGAATTCAAGATTCTCACTTTCTTGTTCCTATTTGGGATGACAAGACATTTTTGAAATAATGGCAAAAAATTCCTTGGATTTCCCACAAGCTGTACAAATGCCCTTGTTGTTTCCTGTGGTACTGGCTGGCACTCACTGATTTATTTTATGGGGTCTGTCTTAACTAATCTCTCTCTGTCTCTCTCTTTGATTCATAGCGGTTGCCCTTCCAGGGAATGGTGTCCCAACCCTGCACAGGTCTTCTCTCTGTGGGCCAGTGACTTTCTTTCTTTATGTGCTGCTCAGATGATGGCAAGCAAGCACCCGTGTCTTCTGACCGAGACATTCCTGCTCCTTTCCTACTCAGCCACCTCTGCTCCTCTTCCTCCCCCTCCTCACTGGCACACCAAAGTGTCCAAACGTTACCAAAGACTGACAAGCATGACCACACCAAGGAATCCAGTGCAGAAGCTGGAGGATTCCTCGAGAAAGTCATAGTGTCTAAACAAAAAAATAAAAACAGAAACAAAAAAAATACGACAGAGGAAGGAAGGAAAGAACAAAACCATAAAAGAAGGAATGAAGGAAAAATGGGAATGAAAAAAAAAAAGAATGAACAACAAAGGAAAACTCCCATGTTTCCTTGGGAACATTGGACAGGACTTCCTCAGGGAAGTGGGAACTTGTTTTAAACAAAAAAAAATATATTAAAGCACAAATTTCTACCAGAACTGTTAACTTCTTTACTGCAGAGCCCACAGCTTAGGAGACAATATACCACAGTGCTCTCCCCAGATGGCTCTCCATGTTCCAACGTGAATCTGCTGGCTCCGGCTACTGTGCCCCAGCTGCAGTGCCCCCCTGCAGTAACACCCTACCTGCCTCTGTTCAGGGCAGCTCCTGTCCCGTGTGCCAGTGGCCATAGAATGGCCCCCTAGGCTGCATGTGCTTCAGTGTCTCCATTTGCATCTTCCAGACTCTCATGTATTTAATTGTCCTTGTGTGATTTGCTTTAGCCCACACTGCTCTCCTTCTCCCGTCCCCTATGCCCCCCTGTGCCCTCCTCCAGCCCAAGGAAGAAAACAGAGAAACAGACCCATCATGTGGATTACGCCAAGCAGTGGAAGGCCATGGGTGGATCCAGCTGCTGACCAACCACTCAACGGCCCCAGCTGCTAACCTCGCTTTCAGCCTCTCTTTTGCTTTCTGCAACTGGGTGGACAAACTTTGATAACAGAAAGGCCTCCCATTGGGGTGGAGTGGGGGCAGTAGCATGTTGTCTTGACCCTGATCAACTTGCAAGCATTGGAAAGGGAGCTGCAGCAGCCTAAGGGTCAGGATCTCTCCTCAGCTGGCTGTTGTTATTAGTTATTTATTTCTGTCTATTCCTTTGTTGCACTTCCCCACCACTCTGAGTCTTTCATTTCAGGCTGCAGGGAGAACCCTGGATTTGCCTTCCTTGCCACGTGCCTCAGGCCCTGTGCAATCTGAACAGTTCTGAAACCGCAGTTGCTGCCTTCAGCTCCAAGGTCCTGCGGTGCGTTATCCATAAGATGGGTGAAATGTGCCAGCTGTATTACTGCTCAAGGGTAAGACAGCTGCATCCTGTCACCAGGAAGGGTCTTGGAGCAGGTGGTGTCACATCACTAAAGCAATAGTCAGAGGAGCTGAGGGGTAGAATACTCAGTAAAGCTCCGATGGCTTGATCCCAAAGTGAGGATTAGTCTGGTTTTTTGGTTTTTTTCTATGGAAAAGAACAATGCAGACAGGAAGGGGACTGGGATTTCATCTCCACAGAGTTTGTGCTACCACCAGGAAGGAATACAGCTGAGGTCTCGAGCAAGCCTCACAGAGATGGAGCCTCTCTGCTCCCACTCTGCTGCAGTTAGGTCCATCCTGCACATTACTGTAGCTCTGGGAATAATGTGGTACATTGGCACTTGCTGTAACAGCATCACACACAAGAAAGGTCTCTCCTGCACCAGCCGAGTAAAGAGCCAGGTAGACTTGTAGGTGGAAATGGCTCAGGGCATATCTTACACAGCTCTCCCTGAAAATCGTAGTGTTAGGTATAGGGGCTCTCACTACAGGTATATCAGCATGTGCTGAAGTAATTCAGTTAG